TTTTGGGAAGCAAAAGGCTTTTGTAAGGAGTTGCTGGCAGAGCCATAAGTGTCTGCCTGCTGTAACAAATGTGCTGACAGAGCCATAGCGATTGAGTCGCCAGGGTAATGTTATAATAGAATTTTCACTCCAGCCGTCATGGGCAAGAGATTTGAAGCTTCTTTCCCCTGAAACGCTTCCAGCTGCTTGCCAGAGAACAGGAATGAGCTAGTGTGAAGCTATGCCCACAAAACCTTAACCTGTGAAACACCAAGCAAAAAATATGTTGAAGCAACAGCATCAGGCTTTGCTGAACTTCAGTGCTTTGAGTCAGACACTGGGAATGCCAGGGGCTGCCTCTCCACACCCTGCCTGTCTCTCCCCATCCTCCAAGTACCAAGGGACAGTTACTGGTGAGTGAATCAGACCCTGAAATGGGTCGGGGATCCTCAGCGGCTAGTAGAGATGCATTTGCCAGTTTTACAGGCAACTGCAGAGCTCAATTCACTCAGATTTTCCAGAGACTTGGCTGAAAAGCATGAGCTCATCCATCACAGACACCCAAAGAGCCTTCTGCAGCTTGCAACAGGTATCTGACATCTGCAAGAGTCCCTGCCACAGCCAGGGACTGCTGGGACCGGTCAAGGGGAGCAGTGCTTGCAGCAGTGCTAACGAAGCTGATGCCTGTCTCTAGCGCAGTATCAGGACAACTTAAATTCCCCATCCCTGCGTGTCTTCCCATGCGCCTGTAGGCACCTCCCTCTAAAATAATTTGGCACAGGACAGCTCAGGCTGTCATGCGTGCCAGCTGCAGCCAGGTTGTGCAAGGACATCTCTCCTCAAGCCCATGTTCCATGCCCCCAGCAACCTCTGCCCTGCTTCTCCCCTGTCCCTCCTCTGCCCTGCTCCTTCCCTGCTTCTTCCAAGCCAGATGCCTCCCAGACCTGTTGATAAACAGGAGCTATTCCTGAAAAATTGCATCAGAACCAGTTTAGTGAACAGCTGTATCTATAGAATTGAGGACATGATGACCGTGACGACCGCTGGCAGAGAAAGGATGTGTGGGGAAAACAGATAAGCAAACAGCAGAACTAGCCTGCCCAAAGCTCAGACTGCAGACCTGCCTTCCCTGCATGGGCCAGGATGCCCACATGTCACAAGGGACAGAGCTGTCACCGCACTCGTATCCTCATGAAAAAAGAACCTACCAGCCTCCCCCCATGCATGGCCCCCACTCCTGCATAGGACAGGATCCCAGAGCCCCTGAGTTCCACCAGGCCTTGTTTATAACAACCCTCAAGTCTGTTCAGCACCCAGGAAGAGAGAGAAACAGCTGTACCTGTTGTTAGGGACAAATAGCTTAAACTCTCGGACGTGGGAAGAATCCTTGGAGAGGATTATGTGACCTGTGAACTGGCCTGGGGAAAACCAGAAGGGGAAGTCTGGTGGCTCATTCAGCTGGAACTCAGCATGGATCCTGAAAGGAGAAAGGAGACATCAGCTGCAGTGCCAGGAGGAGAGAATGGATCAAGCACTGCACATGACAGCAGGGAGAAGTGATCTCCAGGCACCAGAAATTATGAAGCTAAATTGGGACTGAGGTTCAATTCAAAAAGCTTTTCCTGTCACACAATGAAGAAGGTAAAAGACTGGAGCAGATCCCCTGGGTCAGGATCACCTCCAGTATCGATGCCTTTTGGAACTGGGCAGTAAGTGTCCATCCAGGAAGGATGAATTACATTATCATTCCTTGAACACACAGAAATAGTCTAAGGCCCCTTCAACCTCCCTTCCATCTTGATCAGGCAAATAAAAGTTGTATGTAACACTCCCAGTAAAACAAGAGAACAGTTCCCCAGACTCTCCCCCTTGGAAAGGCACTCCACTCCCTGATTAACCAAGATCTAACAAATTCCTTGCTAATCAGACTCTCCCCTTTCAGCCAGGGAAAGTTCCAAACCAAGGGTGATGGAGGAAGGCTGCTGTCCTGGATCTGGGCAACAGCTCCTGCCTCACCAGGGCTTCAGTGACACTGGGAGCACGGGTGCCCTCTTCAGGCGTCAGCAAAGCATCACACATGGGCAAGAGCTGGCTGTGAACCATCCTCTTCCTCAAACTGCTTTGCCTCCCCCCCAGCGAGGACACATCTGGTCTTGCTTGGGAACACAACTGCGCATGCAATGACACACGCACCCTCTGCCACGGGCTCACAGCAGCCTTCTCCACGCCTCTGAAATATGGAACAAATTCAGAAGTGCCCCCAAACCCTCCCACCCCAGACCCGTGGCCTTACCTGAACGCTATGGTGTAGTAAAAAGTGCTGATGGCTTGGATGCAGGCCACAGCTCCCTGGGGAGCAAAGCGGGTTTTTACAAAGGGGCGTGGGTGGAACATGCTCAAAAGCCTGTGGATTATGATCTAGAGTAAGAAATGTAAGAGAGCAAAAGTGAGAACAGTTCCTCCCACTGCAGGTCAGCTGCAGCTCCAAAGTAGCTCTCCGCCAGATCAGGAAGACAAGAGAACTGCTATGACTTAAAAATTAGCTCAGAGACTACCTAATCACAAAACAAGGAGATAAAACAAGCGACTGCTTTTAAAAATAAATCCATCTTCCACGCTTTTTATGCTATTCCCATTGTTTGCAAGTTTCCATCACCCCAAGTCAGTTGAATGTCTGAGTACGGTGAACTGATCTACAAGGCTGCCTCCATCAATACTACTTAAGACTTTGAAAGAGTGGGAATGCAATCAATAAACACACCAGGCTGCGAAGGTATATCAACTATGTGATCACTAACACCTACCCGGGCACCCTGGGGGAGAGCGATATACACGCCTGGCTTTACACACTATGTATACACATCGTTTCACTTGTCAATGAAACGCTCACCTCTGGGGTGGCACTTGGCAACTGTTCCACAAGGCACCACCACTTCATACAAGTGCTTTGTGAGTAACCCTCTCCCCTCCCTGTCCAGGAAAGACTAGCCTAAAACCCCAAACACTTAAACGAAGCAAGATAGAGTTACTCAAGTCAGCCTCACCTGGGCATTACAGACACCCAGAGCTGTTGCCTGCTCTCAGTTTTATTTCCAGTTTAGGAGATGGTACTCCTGGCTGTATGCTGCAGCCTTTTTGCTCCCTTAGAAAGTCCAGGGAGACATAATGCAGCAGCCTTGCCCACCCTAGGGACTCCTGCGATTCATCTGGGCTATAAGGTAGAACACTTACACAAACTACCTCTCAGGAATATAGAAACTGAGTTTTGTATCTCACCTCTTTGCCTTTGGGAGGAGGAGGGTAAAATCTGTTGTTGGAAAGATACCCAGTGAAGATGTTCAATTCACTAGGAATTATCCACCACGGATCCCCCAGATCCAGTTTATTCTTTGGAGGAAGAAAGGCTTTAAATTGTCTGGCAGGCATCATGCTCATAGGGGCTGCTGGGGCAGTCCAATTCCTCAGCCCAGACAGAGCCACATGAGAAATCTGTGAACAAAAGACACTATTAGAGCCTAGACTGGACTCTTCAAACGTGCAGCAGTGCTGATAGATATAAGGCGGCTTTGGAGAAGAGGAAAAAATAAAATAATGTTTTAAATTCTTCCTACCACCCCAAACACCACCAAATAGTTTTGTCAACTTTCAGTAACGTAATAGGGAGAGAGGGGAACATACCACATATCACCACTGCTTTTGGACTTAGCTCTAGGAGAGCCACCCCTATGTCTGCTTCAAGCTTCCCAGGAAGGGTGTATTCATTGGGGCACGGTGCTGCCGAGTACACCGAAAATAACGGAACGCTGCAGAAAGCAGTGAGCTTGCTTGTCAAAGCAAATCCCACCTCCCCCTCCTAACGTGCTAGCACTTATTCCTGGTGATGTTACCAGCTCACTGGATGTGTTTACACCAGAATTTCTGGCCACACACATCCTGCATGATACTTACTCCCAAGAAACCGTCTTTGCTCTTTGTCATCGTTTCCATGACCAAAGGCTGGAATTTAGCCACAATGGACAATGTCTCCCCACTAGGATCAGGCGTCTCCTCCTCTTCAAATTCTGAGATGGGAGCAACCCCTAGACAAAGGGACAGGAATTTAAGCAGCTGTTTCCCCTCCCTCCCCTTTTAAGCAATTGTGAAGTGATTACACATTTATCCTGGCAAATCCAGGAGCACTGGGAGCTTCCCAGCTGTTGTTGCACTGTACATACGCAGCAGCAGAACTCAGACCCACCCCAGAGACCAGCTTCAGCTGCATGAATTAAAGGGGAGCCCTCCTTTTAGTGCGCAACTCTCTAAACCCCGTGGCTCAGCTAAACAGTCTCATTTCACCTAGGAGGGATCGGACCACACGCTTTAGCCAATTCATTACAGCACAAGCAAACAACTGTCTGCATTTCGACTGTACTGTAAGCTCTCCTGTACATTATCATCACCACACTTCTTCCTGCTTGGCATCACCAAGAGACATTTGCCACACGCTGATACAGTCTCCAAACACGATCTCGCACAATTGCTATCTGAGAGGGACTGCCTCAGCCAGAGAGTGTATGACTGAAACACTGAGACTCACTCACAGTTTTGGCCTAGCCTGGGCTGAGCTGTATTTGTTGCATTCACCCATCCCAAATCCCATTTAAGCTCTACACAAAGTAACTTATGTACTTTGCTAGTCCAGCAATGCGGTCTTCAGTCTTACAAAAACTACTTTGTGAAAGTGGTGTCTAGTGCTTAAGCCTTTTCAAAAACATGTAAAGCTTAGCAGCCTCTCTTCATGTAAATAAGACCCAGAACAGCACCCAGAAAAAAAATAAGACATGAGTAAAAACTGTTGAGTGCATTATCTTTGGCTTTTGCTCAGTCTGTGCAGAGACAGCTCTGCAAGGTAGACATATACCTACCTGTCAGCTTCTCTGCTATCGGCTTGAACTCTTCCGGACTGAGGTACAGATCATTGTTTGTATCCAGAGAAGAAAAGAGAAACAGCCCCTCACTTCCCAAAGACTTCAGGGCCAGCTCCTAGTTTGGGAAGGAGATGCAAGTGAGATTTCATTCCAACCTCTTGCAGAAATTCACTCCGGCCCCTCTCAGCTTCGGACTTAATTTGCATTCTTTCCAGCACACAAACACAGCCATCAAATTGAAAGATTAACGCCCCTTGGCAGGATTTTGTGCTATTTACAATAGGGATCGGTGTCCAGGAACTGTTGGCATGAGCATATTAAAACTACATCTGGCTGAGTAATTCAAATGGAATCATTTGTTCAGAGTCGGCCTCAAAGTCTTTTGTCAGAAAATTTTCCAACTTCTTCCAGATAGTTAGTCCTAAACCTGCAGCTACTCAGAGCACCTGGAGATTGTGATTTCTGTAATTAACTTATGCCAGTGAAACAAAGGCAGTCAAATACATGCCTATCCGCATTACAGAAACACAAAGGAAATGAACTGAGCCCTTCTAAGTCTGCAGGAAGCAACTTAACACCAGCGCTGAGATCCCTGCCTGCACTGCCCTGCACAGCTGCTCTGCTCTAGCCAGGTTCCCCTCCAGATCTCCATCCTCAGGACTGGATGGAGCATTTCGGCCCCTTGCTCCGCAGGGAGCACTGCCTACCCATTCAGCCATACACTGGGGAGCCACAAACCTCATGGTCTTCTCCAGAAATCTCTGTGAGATCTCAGCCACCCTGTGCCTCAGTTTCTCCCTCTGCAAAGTCCACAGGGAGAACATCCAGTGGAAAACACCACTGAAACACCATGTCTCCCTTGGAGCAGCCCCAGAAAGGCTCTAGATGCTTCTAGTCATTTCCACTCCACAGCACCCAGTGCTGAAGGGAAAGGGACAACTTGTAGGCAGAACAAGAGAGCTCCACGTTGGTGTGAGAGGAAGAGAGAGACATAGCAAGTCAGACAAGCCACATCACTGCCAGAAAGCCTGCAGCACATCCCCTGCGACCCATCATGTGGGGCAGCTTCCCCTGCCACCCCCGTAAAAGCCTAAAGCTGCACGGATAAATGCTCTGTATTCTGCTGCTTAACCGTGTTTATTCTCTATTGCCTGCAGCACCATTACCATCCCCAGAGCTCCTGAACTAGTTTATTTTCCATCTGTTGCCTGCCAGCCTGAAGCAGCACTAATGCAGCCTGGAAGGCTTTGCTCCTGTCAACTGCAGCAACAAAAGCACTTAAGAGCCTTCCAGGGCAGTTTCAAGACTGAGGCAGACAGAAATAAAGACCTTGGAATACAAACCAGAGATCTGGACGCAGACATGGCTGAGGAAAGACAAGGAGGAGAGTGTACAGGAACCACACAGCTGAAAAAAAAGGAATGAAGGAACAAGATGGTTGTTTATCTACACCTAGGAACAATCCACTCCGGACTGTCCACGTTCCTGGGGTCAAAACCGTGCCTTTGTTCCCTGAATGAATGGGGATGCATATCCTTGGCCTTGTACACACATAACAACATTTTCCTGAGCAACTGCCCTGTTTCCTGACGGCCAGGTGCCAGGGTCACGTCACGAAGCCTTGGGCCAGGCTTCAGTACCCCTCCCGGCTCTAGATCTTGCTTGCGCACGGCACGTAATGCATTAACCTCGTAAGGGCCCCTGTGATCGCTCACTGTCTGGGAGCCAGCTCGCGGCGCAGGGAAGCGTGCAGGGAGCGCACGATGGCTTCCTCCTCTGCAGAGGAGGCTGTCCTGGATGCGTACTGAGCTCTGAAGAGACGGTCCATTTCCTAGTCCTCTCCACAGCGCATCAGCGATTCCCTGCTGATGAATCTTTTAGAGTGTCTCTTCTTTTTGTACTTCACAGACGTGGACCTCAAGGGATGGGAGGCAAATGAGTGACAAAGTTTTTAGTTGGTTAGACCGCCTGCTGCTGTAGTATTAGGAAAAAGTCGTCATCATTTACTTAACAGGGCTGAAGGCAGAAAGAGAACCAGTTATACCCCATGCGTACAGAAGAACATCTTTGACTGCGTCTAAGAGAGAAGAACGTGAAGGGCGGAAGATGGGTGCCTGGCGTTGGACGTTAGCATCCAAAAATGGATCTGAATCGAGAGCATGCTCCCATCCCCTCAGCCTGCACTTTCACATAGGTTAAGCAATGAAAAACCATCAGCTGCAGAACCATCAGAATTATTCCTACAACCACAATCAGCCAGAGATATGGTAGCTTTGTGGTCATGCGACTCATGTGTGTGCACCCATCTCGCACGCGTGCCGGCAGCCGGCTGAACACAGCCTGCCCACTAATGGGATTGGTACCGGGCTCCTGCCTGCTCCAGGCGGCGCTGCCCTCCCCAGACCCAGTTAAATCAGCCACTTGTCCAGCAAAGGCGCGCTCAGGGCAGGACTGGCACAGCACATCAGCTCTGCACAACCCCGCAGGACAGATCGCTCCCTTCAGAAACATTCATTTTACACTCGGAAAGCACGGCAGCTCAGCGGCAGCATCGCGCCAGCCCCTCCGCACAGCCTCACCCGCACCGGGACCGCAGGGACCCACCTGGCCGGAGATAAGACCCCAACCATGGAGGGACGAAGGCTTCCGCAGAGCACGCACCGGTCCTGCTGCACTCAGTCAAGATGATAAAAATTATGTTTAAAAGGGGAGAGAGATGTCAGGGCTTGGCCTTTTGCTTTCTGATAACATTCACGTTAAAGAAAACTCTCCTGAGCTTGTGGGGTTTTTTTCTTTTTTCTTTCTAATCTGGGATTATAAGAAATAAAAAGTGTCCCTGTTTGTGCCAGAGGAGTAAGACTCAGCTTTTTCAGTCTTTTTGTAGAGGAAGAGAGATGTGGTTTTCACAAAGAGTTTTCTTCTCCCACCTGCTTGTGGGTTGTTTAGCTAAATAAACATTTCCATCGAAAGAGACAAGACATATGTTTTAAGCAAGATGAAGGAAAAATAAAATCCCTGGGCTGTTCACATTTTGTTCTCCTCTCCAGCAGTGCCCAGTCACAGCCGTCTGCCCATCCTCTGGGAAAAAAACACCTCCAGAAGACCTGGCTTTTTGTCAGGCAGGGCTGAGCTCCTCCCAGCCCATCTGGGAAGGACCGTCCTGACCCTTCCGTCCCTGTCAGAAGAATTCTTCTAATTAACTCCTTTGAGCCATTTTCCCCTTTTTGCGATGCAAGAAGAGACAAAGAAAAGAGCCAGCCTTTAAAGACACTTGTCTTTCTACTATAGAAATAGCAAGAACAGGAAGTCTGCTCTTTTCCGCGAACCTTTCTAGGTGTTCAAGGATGCACACCGAAGTGAAGAGCCAGGGGAGTGTGATCTTTAACAAAGGTACGGCTTCTCCAAAGCAGGCAGCAGTCATCTGAATTATACAGATTACAATCAAAACCAACGTCCATCAGCCTAATTTAAAAAAAAAAAATCCAAACAAAAACCCCACAACAAAACCCCTAAAAAAAAACCCTTCTCATTTTTCAGCTCACATCCTCTGTTTTTTTGCTGTTTCTGCAGTCAGAGTTGCTCAGGGCACACAAGACCTGCATTTTTAGTACAAAAAAAAAAATGCAGAAACATCTGGATTTGGGGTCTTTTTTCCAGGGAATAAAGCAGGAAGGGCAGGCACCTCCAGAGGCCACGTCGAGAGGAGCTGTGCAGCGTTACGCCAAGGGCTGGGGTCTGGCACTCCCGCTCTCCCTCCATCTTCCGGCCTCAAAGGCGCAGTCTGGTGCCGGGTGGTCCCCACAGCTCTGTGGTTGTTTTAACCTGGTGGTGGCCACCACAATCTCTGTGGCTGCTTCAAGCCTGGTGGCCACCACAGCTCTGCAAAACCTCAGCCTGGCAGTGGCTACCCTCAAGCCCATAGCTACTGGTGTGTGATGAGCACCACAGCTCAATGGTCACCTTGGCCTGGCAGTGGTCACCTCAAGCTCCATGGTCGCTGATGCCTGCTGTCCCCACAGTGGAGGTAGCTACCGTGTGGTAGCTGATGGCTACCATGGCTTTGTAGTCACCACAGCCCAGCGGTGGCTACCTCAACCCTGGCAGCCCCCCCCAGCCTGCAGCC